CCAACAGCTGCACCTCCAAACATGAGTCTGTCAAACTAATTAAGTTTGCTGACGACACCACCATCGTCGGACTCATCTCTAAAGGGGGATGAGTCCGCTTACAGAATGGAGGCTGAACGGCTGGTGTCCTGGTGCAGCCACAACAACCTGGTGCTAAACACCCAGAAGACAGCGGAGGTTGTTGTGGACTTTAGGAAACACACACACCCCATCCCCCCCCCCTTAAACTTGTCTGATACTCCCATCACGATGGTGGACTCATGTCGCTTCCTGGGCACCACCATCACCCAGGACCTCAAATGGGAGCCCACCATCACCACCATCAGAAAAAAGGCCCAGCAGAGGATGTACTTCCTGAGGCAGTTGAAGAAATTCAACCTATCACCACAGTCGATGAGGCAGTTCTACACCGCTATCATCGAGTCCATCCTCACCTCCTCCATCACCGTGTGGTACGCTGGAGCTACCACCATGGACAAGAAGAGGCTGCAGCGTGTCGTGCGCTCTGCAGAGAAGGTCATTGGCTGCAAACTCCCCTCCATTCAAGATCTGTACACCTCTAGGACATTGAGGCGTGCAGGTCGGATAATAGCTGACTCGTCTCACCCTGGACACAGTCTCTTCGACTCGCTCCCATCTGGCAGAAGGCTCTGATCCATTCGGACCAGAACCTCTTGCCACAAAAACAGTTTCTTCCCCTCTGCAGTTGGACTTTTGAATGAACATCCTAGGGCAGCCCACTCAAGTTGATTGGTCCCAGTCACGTGACCTGATGCTGTGCTTGAAACATTCAGCAAATACTCAGATTAGTACCTACACAGGGTAGATAGCTGTTCTCTAAATCTTGCCACTTTAATAATTTTATCATGAGTGTTTTATTAGTTCTTATATTTGCTTATCTCTTAATTCATTTTTTTTTTCTATCTTACCGTCTGCACCAAAATACCGCAGCAATTTCCTAATGTTGTGACTTGGCACACATATGGCAATAAAAAATTCTGATTCTGATGGCAACATGTTTTTTAACTGTGACTTTAGTTTTGTAGCATGTAATCCATGTTTTGTAAATTGTAACATTTGTTTTGTAACACGTAATTTTCATTTAGTAACACAACTTTTGTTTACCAACATATAACTTTCGTTTTGTAACGTATAACTTTGGTACATAACATGAAACTTTTCTTTTGTAACTTGCAGAAGAAAAAAAATCTAACTTTCAAAACACATGTCAGTCTACAAGTACAAAACATATTGTCCCTACTCTAGCTCGCTTCCAACAGGAATATTCTTCGACAGGAATCCAAGACTCATGATTGGCTGGTCAGCTAAAGCCTGTCATTGGTTCTTTGGGAAGGAAGCTAGAATTGGGACAAAAATGTTTTGTACTTGTAAACTTGAGTTTTGTAACTGTAGACTGAGATGTGTGTTTTGAGAGTTGTGATTTGAAACTTCTACATTGATTGTTTTCTGCAAGTTACAAAACGAAAGTTATGTGTTACAAAATGAGAATCACATGCTACAAAATGAAAGTAATAGTTACAAAACATGTTACAGGTTACAAAGCTTGTTACAATTACATGTAATATTGTCCCAATCCTAGTTCAATACACAGACACATTTAGGAGCGGCTTGTCAAAAACTTTAATGAGCGTGAATTTGATTGGAATAAAAAGCAAGTTATGTCCAAGCGTGGCAGTGCAGAGGCCACCCCTGTACCCCTTCTGTACCGCCATCATGTAATCTGGTATAAAAAGGACACGATTACACCACTTTACCACCACAGTCTGACTACTTTTAAACAACCTAAGGTTCCCTGATGCCAGCTCAGCATTGTGGCTAATTGGTGGTATTATTTTATAGAAGAGGGTAAAGATCCTCCCATTGGGCAGTTTTCATGCTCTGCTCCTTGACTGTAGTAGGAAGTAAGGGGGTATGAGAAGCCCCCTGCAGATCCTCAGGATGTACCACGACAGCCCACTGAGCACATATTAAAGGGGCCAGTCTCCCCTAAGCCCGGGGCGGAGAGAGTGTGCTTCATGGGACCAGAGATGCGTAGGTAATAGGACAGCTTGTCACAATTGTGCAAATGTGTGCATTTTTGACTGGATGTGTTTGTCTCTGTATTTGCTAAAGGTGCAGAGGAAAAAACTCAAGAATGTTCAGAGAGGTCACATTTGTCCTAGCAAACTTCGGACAAGAAAAAAAGGCTTCATAGTCACCTCCATTAAGTGTTTTTGCTGTAGACAATTAGAGCAAACCTAACCCCCAATCCACACTGGAGGCGTCAGTGACTTTGAACGGCAGTGAAACTGTTTATTTGCGTGCTTCGCGGCACGTTAATCCACATCGGGAGGGTCTCAGACGTGCAGAGATCTTGCAAGACCTTGTTAAACCAAAAACAAGAAGATCTTGTTTGATATCACTGTTTGATGTCATATATAATGTTGTGCCCCTCGACTGCCAGGATTAAAGACATGAAAAAAAAAAAACACTGCTGCACATCTCGAAAGATGCTGGGAGTAATAAGCTGTTACACCATATGTTGGCCATTTTTCCATTTCATGTTTTTGATCCGAGACAAAAATAGAAAATACAAAAAACACGACATGTTTTGTTTTTTAATCAGTTTATAAAACAAAAAAAACAATCAATTTTTCCTTTTTTGATTTTCCATCAAAAATAGACAACAAATGATACACGGATTCACTGGAAGCACTTGGATTCATTGTGGGGGTTGCAGCACAGATTGACGTTTCTGTCAACTTTGAACGTAGTGGCTGCTGCTGGAGCTGGTGGACGGAGACATGCTCCTAAAGAAGACGGGCTAAAGTTGGTTATACAGAACTGCTTTGGGTTTGAGGAGTCTGATGTTGAGTAGAAAAACATCCTCAGTTAAATATTCTGGGCAACAGTAAAGTCCTATCTGTGTTAATAGCTCTTATGACCTTAAATACAGTTTATTAACGAATGATGAACACACATGCGTCCAAACTTTCTGGACATTTCCCTCCACTGTTTCAGCTGACTGTTCCAACCCTCCTCAGCACCACACACTCCCCTCCTGTTACATCTAACCCGGTGAGGAGAGAGCTGAGGTGGCTTAAGAGCAGGAAAGCTGCGGGTCCTGGTGGAATCAGCCCCAGACTGCTCAAAGACTGTGCTGACCAGCTTTGTGAAGTCGTCACGCACATGTTCAACCTGAGCCTTCAGCTAGAGCAGGTCCCCATCCTGTGGAAGACCTCCTGTGTGGTTCCTGTTCCCAAAACATCACATCCCAGTGAACCAGACCACTACAGACCAGACACCTTGACCTCCCACCTGATGGAGACTACGAAGAGACTCATCCTCACCCATTTAAGTTCAGTGGTGATCCCATAAATAGACCCATTGCATTTTGCATATAAACCAAACATGGGGGTGGAGGACACGCTCATCTGCCTGCAGCACCGGGCTCTAAGTCACCTCGAGATGCAAACGAGGTCTGTGAGAGTCATGTTCTTTGATTTGTCAAGTGCCTTCAACACCATCCATCCGTGCCACCATGACACACGTCTTCTCTCCTAAAATTTTAACCCTCCCACATTGTTAATGGGGTCTGATGGGGCCCAGGTGCTTATTTATTTTGGGAGTGCACCACTTCACCCTCGCCAAGGGAAATGGTAAATGGTCTGTATTTAATATAGCGCCTTCTGGAGTCCTAGAACCCCCCAAGGCACTTTACAATACAGTCATTCACCCATTAACTCGCTGGTGGGGATGAGCTACATAGTAGCCACAGCTGCCCTGGGGCACACTGACAGAGGCGAGGCTGCCGAGCACTGGTGCCACCGGTCCCTCCGACCACCACCAGCAAGCAACGTGGGTTAAGTGTCCCAAGGACACAATGACAGCGACAAGCTGAGCGGGGCTTGAACCTGCAACCTTCCGATTACGGGGCGAGCACTTAACTCCTGTGCCACCGTCGCCCCATAAACTGATAAACTATCAACCATGTTTAGCCACCCTCTGTCCTGGAGGGATCACCCAATAGGACAGTGGAAGTGTTGGGTCACCGCTTCACTGGTGGGATTTTCCCATTTATGTGTAGAGACTAGCAACATCCCACCTCTGTGTAACCAGGTTGCAGTTACGGAAGCCAGAAGAGGCCAAAAGTCCTCAAAAGTATTTTATCCTACTGGCTAATATGAATTGAAATTGAGATTCAAGCCATGTTCACCTTCACAACTTTAGTAACTTTGTGCTGATGATCCACATGAACAGATTAGTAGATGAAATTACATCATGAAATTAGCTTAACATGAAATTTTTTTTTTCTTGGCAATAAATAAATACTGATAATATTGTGAATGACATCAATAGCCCACCCTTAGATAGGGGGCTGGGATCCTGTTTCTCCTGCGAGAGCAGCCCTGTATGGCGCTCAGCCAGTGTAGCCACAGGTGGGAGGGAGATCTTGGGAGGAGCGCAGATTACATTGAGGTTGATGACCTCGCCAGGCTGAAGTTCACCAATCCAAAGGTGGGGGGGTAGGTTGGGTTTTCACAGCGTCTGTCTGCATTCCTTCGTGGGGGTTTGTTGTTGGCATTCACAAGGCTGCCATGGCGTCAGATTCTGATAACAAGACTTTGTTTGGGTCAGGCAGAGATAATTTTCCTCTCTGCCTTGAAGTGTGTAATTGATCATTCAAGTCCTCCAGTGAAGCCAGTTCAGGTTTTTAAACATTTCTTTGTATTTGTTGAATTTAGTGGTTGAAGGTTACGACAATAGTTTAGTGTCTTTGTGTGTTTACCTGTAGTCTTGTTTTTATTTTTATTCTTCTCTTTCTCTAAGTGTATTTGCTGCTGTAATGAGTAGGATTAATAAAGTCTATTCTATTCTATATTAGTAATAATAATCCACAATAGGGCTTGGTAATAAAACACAAGTCTGATGTGTTACATTTATAAAGTAAGACTGGATATGGCCAGACTCAGTAAAACGTAGTTTTTTGTGTGTTTCAGCTGATGACAACTGAGTCCAGCCTTTCAAATGAAGAGCCTTCAGTTCCGAAGCATTGCTCCCAAGGCCCCAGCTGTGGTGGGCTCTGCCTCTCCTACAGCCATTCCTTGCCAGCCACCGTCAGCCCTACCTGAGACCACCACTGCCTCCAGACCTAAGTCAATCCTCGTACCCACTCAAAATTATGCACTCATGCAAATAGCCGGTCAAGATGGTACATTCTCCCTGGTGGCCCTACCCCCTTCTGTCTCCTCTCAGTCACCACCACAACAAACCCAGTCAATCCAGAAAAACATCAAGTTACCCATTCCTCGATATCAGTCGATGAGAAGCAGGACAACTTCAGATAAGGGTAAATCTCCGCCACTGGCTGCCAGTGTGAAACCAGCCTCTGGTGTCTGTAAAGTACCACAGATTAAGCCAATGATGTGCAGAGCATCGTCAGCCACTATGAAAAAGTTACAAGTGACAAAGCACATAAAGGAAACCTTAGTTCCAAAAGAGGAACCTTTAGAAAAATTAATCCTCATGGATTCAAGCTCATCAGACATCTCTGTGACTGCTGTACTTCCAGATAATGCTGTTCTCTGTCCAGGCACCAAATTAGAGCAAACGTCAACCTGCTCTGATCCACCTACCCCAACAAGCCTTATTCAGAACCTCCAGTGCCCATCTGTAACTCCCTCAAGCTCCATGGGCAAATCTCTACAGGAAAGTAAGCCTACATTAAGGCTGTGCCAGGCTAAACCAGCTCAGCCCCAAAGCAGTATCACTGTCCTGTCCCCAGCCATCTTCAGTAAAGCAGTCCAAATTATTCCTTCCCCACCCAAGGGCAAATTGCCTATATTGCCCTACTCTAAAATGAAAAGCACCCTGATCCCTACCACAAAACTCAGTAGTTTATCCCATGAACAAAAAGGCTTCTATGGACAAACAGAACTCACTAGCCACTTAGAAACCACATTCAAGAACGTAGAAAACACTGGAGACTTCAGTCAAAACCAGATTCAGCTCCAGACCAAGCCCACGCCTGTTACTTTCACCCACCAGAAACCACCTGGCAAGAAGAGAGGTAGGAAGAGGAAGACCATGGAGGACATCCTGGCTTTTGAAGCCCGAAAAAAGAGGTCTCTGTCCTTTTTTCGTAGAAGGGTCCCAGATAAACCACCAGCGGTTTTTACAGGCTTTAAACCAAAAGAAGTTGATATTTCTAAGAAATACCGCAGCATTCGTCCCAAACCAATGTTGGTAATGGAAACGGTTCCAAGACCGGTTAGTTTGCCTTCCATTACACCAGATGGCCAAGAGCAGGAACTTTTAATCGGTCATCAGCTACCTACTGCTACCACAACAAAGGCTCTAAACTGTCCACCTCAGCCAGCCCCAGTAACGCTCCAACTGAGAGGGTCCCCCCATCCTAAAGTCTTCATAGGTAGCCGTCCGCTCCACCGGTGCTCTATCTGCAGCCGCAGTTTTAAATTTAAGCATCATCTTCAGAGCCACATGAACTCTCATACCAAAAGTCAACCCTACATATGTCCCTTGTGTCGCAAAGAGTATGCCTATAGAGGCAGCCTGAGCACCCACATAAAGCTTCATCACTCTGAGGTTCGGCCACGACGCTCCCTGTGCTGCGAGTTCTGTGAAAAGTCCTTCGGATATATCGGGGTGTACTTTCGTCATCTAAAAGAGGTCCACAAGGTTGCGCTGACTGTGGAGCCATCCATCAGCCGTCACGAGGAGGGGTGAGAACACTGAATCAGATAATACACAAGTGCAAGTTCCTTATCAACGGTTCTATGTATGAGGTTCTCACATAGAGTAAATGGCTAAGCTGTCATAACAAAGTTGTAAATAAGCATCTAACTCCTTTTTTTCTACAGAACTACCTCACCAGAGCCGTCAGATCAACAGGATTACGAAGATCCTGTGGAGCTGCAAATAAAATGTGGTCGCTGTCACGCCATCACTCCCACATTCACTGACATGAAGATGCATCTGCTGTTTTTGCATGGAGAGAAGGTCCACATTCGTCCCCAAGACAGCCAGACCCTGCAGGGTGGTCGTGAGGTGGAGAACGAGCTGGTAAAGCATGCCGCTCACTATTGGAAACAACTCAACGAGAAACGCAGCTTGGTCAGGTGTGGGAGCTGCGAAGAGGAGTTCTTTTCATTTTCCAAACTCAAGAAACACGTCATGTCCCACCACAATGACAGAAATGAGGAGAACGATGACAACAGATCCCACTCTCCAGCAAGCTATCGTGGTCTCGGTGTACTAGAAGCAGGTGCAGCTTTTAACTGTGTGCTTTGCAGCAAGGTGTTGGACACTAAAGAGTTGATAATAGAGCACTGGAGGAGTTACCACCGCTGTGAGCAGCACAGCCTGCTGTGGGATGCCCTGAGCTCCTACTCCAGCCAGGAGAAGGGGGAAGCTGACGGGGATCTAGACACCCCAGCCCCAAGCCCACTTTAGGCAGCCTATTGGTAGAGCCCTTTAATGTAACGTCTCTTCTCCTAACAATCAGCAGCACAGGGAGAGAAGGATTCTCTTACAGCTTTTAGTTTCATCTTTCACCATTAGTGACACCAGAGAAAGGAAAGATCATCAGGCCAGTGTTGAAAACGAATCCCTGTCCTGCAAACCATAAGAGATAGTCACATTGTGGAAAAACTTCAGTTTTATGAATGTTATCCAAATAACGTTAATGTCGCTGCACTGTTCTGTTTGAGGGGTTTGGATGTATTTAATATTCAGCTCAAACATCTATTTTTCTACACGTTTAAATCTTCTGGGTTCTGCCTAGAAAACACAGAGCCACGTCACCCGTGAACCCAGTCATCAGTTAACCCACGCAGAGCGCTTGGGTTCCAGTCGGCGATGAAGCTCCAGAATTCCAACAAATTATCCAGAGAATTCAAATCTACTTCAGGGCATTTTATGCAATGGGCTAAAGATATTCAAGCCTGAAGAAATGTAACCCCACAGACTCCCTTTAACAGGTATGAAATCTGATAAATGCCCTTCAACTTTGAGCTGCCAGGTCAGGTTGTGGCAAAAGTGTGTCTAAATACACACACACACACATTTTTGCCACAACCTGACCTGGCAGCTCAAAGTTGAAGGGCATTTATCAGATTTCATACAATACCTTTTCTTAACGTGGGTACACGAATACATGCTTTTCACGCCAGCAGCCAAGGAGCGTCCATACGGCCTTCAGGGGGAAACAGAAATCAGCTGTTTTAGTGTTTTGTGACTAATCATCAGTATGACCTTTTGCTGGCTCATTTCTTGACTTATTAATGCCTATGTGTGTATTTTGTGACATGCCAAGGTCTATTTAAATTAGTGCAGGGGTGTCCAATCCTGGTCCTGGAGAGCCGGTATCCGGTGTGTTTTCGTGTTAATCCTGGTTCAACACACCTGGTTTAACTCACCAGGTGATTGAGAGGCTTCTGCAGAGCTTGGTGAACTGCAGCACAGGAGATTCAGCCACTGGATCAAGTTGTTGGAGAAGACACCCCACTAAAACACGCTGGATGCCGGCCCTCCAGGACCAGGATTGGGCACCCCTGGATTAGTGATTGTAGATTGTACTGTTATATTCTAGTAAATTCACAGTGAAAAGCAGCTCATATATGCACGTGTGGAGTTATGTGCACCCAGACTTAAGTCGTAACTGTTGTCAAATCCAGATAAATATGCTATTTTGTACTTTAGAATCATCCAGAGGTCTGTGACTATATTTATGCTTGTGGCTGGTCTTTACCTTTGTTGTGTATGCTTCTTCATATTTTTGGGGGGCTATTTTGTGGGTTTTGGTGGCTGTCGTCACGTGACTGTAGCTCTATAAAAAGACTCACCAGGGTAAGTGAATGTACCTGTATGTTAAAGACAACCACCCACATAGACGTATCTACACAGAGTTTATGAATATATTAAACCGAAAGTATATAAATATATATTTACATGGAGTGAGTCACTAGTGAACCTGCTGCTGTGAGAGTGCACCATGACGGTGCAACAGAAGCCATGCTTGTGTGGAACACAAGATGACACCCCCACCCCCGGACTTGGTATGCTGACAGTTTCCCAGAATGTTTAAAAAACTTTAAAACGACTGAGTGTGTGACTTTAGTGTACCTGGAAACCCCGATGTGAGAATAAAGTTGTGCTACCGTTCTATCTTTCTGTTTAGGATCCTAAACGGAAGCTTTAAGCCGGGCGGACACTGTGCGACTTTTTCACTCGTAGCACTCCGCTTCAGCTCAAACTGTACGACTTCCTCGCAGGGCAGATCTCATGAGTCATGTGCTCACACTGCATGTCTGGTAGCAACACGTCGGCCCTAAAAATATGCTAAAAATAGCAGGTTTTACTCAACACGTCAGACTTTTTTGTCTTGTCTTGCCTGTTGTCCTTCGGGAGTGCTGCAGGATGACACACAGGGATTTATGGGGGTTGGATTAGGAAAACGAAATAAAGAAAGTAAATCTGTGTTTTGTGATCAGTTTAATTTGACATGAACACGACAAACACGCTTTCTCGACAATCTTTGTGAGTAAAAATAAAACATGTAGAAACAAAAATGAACAGCGAATCCCTGTCCTGCAAACCATAAGAGATAGTCCGCTCCACCGGTGCTCTATCTGCAGCCGCAGTTTTAAATTTAAGCATCACCTCTAAATAGCGAGTGGTGTTGATGCAGGATTGCGCATGCGCCGTGAGCGGTTCTGATACTTTTTGTGTCGCAGCTGCTCGCAGCGCCGCTTCAACAGTGAGATACCCTCACGAGGGACGAGCGAAATATTAAACACGCCAGATGTCCGTGCGACCTCACGACTGCTGATCGGCAGCTGGTCACGTGGTGTTAATCGCCTCTCGTAACCCCCTGTACACTACACGACCGCTCGGGGAAAAACTCGCCCCGATCTCGTGGATTCTCGCACGACTGGAAAATCGGCTCAAACAAGTGAAAAAGTCGCACAGTGTACGCCCGGCTTTACCGAACGTTCTTGTGGTGGATTCAAATCAAAATGCCAATCATTCTTCAAAGGAGTGTATATCACACACACACACACACACACAATGAGTCAGCGACTAATTGGATCCCTTTGTAAAACTGATGAAGTTAGAGTCGTGTGTGTGTGTGTGTGTTTGTTTCATTGATGCTACATTCATGCTGATCTCCATCTGATTTCAAAGACCTTCAGAAGAGAAGAGGACAGGCTGTTTGACCTCTGATGCAGGGTTTAGACTTCAGGACACGTCCTCTTCAAAGAGCAGAACACGACTCTCCTGGTTCTGCTCCGCAAGCTCCAACTCCTCTGCAAACACTCGCAGATCCAGGCGAGAGCAGCTGTACTTCAGGTGGCTAGAGCGCAGATGAAGCTGTGACACAAGCTCATCGTGTCGCCTCTGCAGCACAGATAAAAAGGAAAGTGCTGCACGGTGATGCATATTTCCTTTTAATCAAAACTCATGTGCACCACAGCTTTCACCGTGCACTCCCACCACACTTTGGCTTTCGTGGGGGATGAAGATGAAAGTAATTCTCCCAACACACACACCTCACTTGTACATGGTGAAGGAGAAGCAGCCCTCTTTCTTTCCTTTTCTTCCTGGGGTTCTTTGAGCGGCACCACCTTCCACACACACCTGAAAATGTTCAGTCTTCCATAGATCTGGTGTGACCCTGATGTGGATATCTAAATGGGGACAACATACTGAGACTGGGAATCACTAGACGGTTGTCACTGGGAGAGATATGTGGGGCAGTAGAAATGTGACCCACACTGACCACAGATGTTCCGGAGCAGGATTTAGGAGGGGTGTAATCTGACTCCTCCTCTTTTCTGCATGTTTGTTGTCCATCTGTCCTAACGCACTAACATCTGTGACACGTGTCTCAGCACAGACACGTTCATCAAAGTAACAATTATTTCATCAAAGATTTATCCATCCATCCACTTTCAACCACTTATCCGGAGTCGGGTCGCGGGGGCAGCAGCCCAGACTTCCCTCTTCCCAGCTACTTGCAGGAATAGTCCCTCCAGCGTGTCCTGGGTCTTCCCTTGGGTCCCCTCCCAGTTGGACATGCCTGGAAAACCTCACCAGGGAGGCGTCCTGACCAGAAGACCGAGCCACCTCAACTGGCTCCTCGACGTAATGGAGCAGTGACTCTACTCTGAACCCCTCCCGGATGATCAAGCTTCTCTAAGGGAGAGCCCAGCCACCCTGGGGAGAAAACTCATTTTGGCCGCTTGTATCTGCAATCTTGTTCTTTCGGTCATTACCCAAAGCTCATGACCATAGGTGACACCTGGGCGGTAGATCGACCGGTAAATCGAGAGCTTTGCCCTCCGGCTCAGCTCTCTCTTCACCACGACAGACCGGTACAACGCCCGCATCACTGCAGATGCAGCACCAATCCACCTATCGATCTCACGCTCCATCTTTCCCTCACATCTGAACAAGACCCCAGGATACTTAAACTCCTCCGCTTGAGGCAGGACCTCATCCCTGACCGGGAGAAGGCATTCTACATTTTTCCAAATCAAGACCATGGTGTCAGATTTAGAGACATCCAGGGCCTTTATCAGTCCTGCTGATGTCAGAACTCGGGTGTAGAGACCCGTAGTCACTGATGCACCAGAACGTCCTGCATGTCCCTCTCCTAGATCGCCCTTCCCTGCTTTTCCATCTCAGGTTTCTAAGCAGTGTTCCATCACCCCACCCCCATCCCAGATTACTCATCTAATGTGCTGATCAAGTAAATAATTAATGGCGGGCCATTTGGAGAAAGGCATCGATCCAAGCTGGGCTTTGGCTTTAAATGGAGTGTGTGTGTGTGTGTGTGTGTGTGTGTGTGTGTGTGTGTGTGTGTGTGTGTGTGTGTGTGTGTGTGTGTGTGTGTGTGTGTGTGTGTGTGTGTGTGTGTGTGTGTGTGTGTGTGTGTGTGAGAGAGAGAGAGAGAGAGAGAGAGAGAGGGGGTATACTGTTCTACCAAGAGCAGGTTCATACAAGGTTTGTGGCTCCTGTAGCTCCATCAGTGTTGCTCCAACAGGCTCCGTACAGCACAAGCCCCCCCACACACACACACACACACACACACACAGACACAACCTTATGGATGCTGATGCTGTATGTACAGTAGAAGGATGACGCAAACACACACACACAGCTTTTTGGTCACATTGCTGGAATTGGGTCCTTATCTTTCCATGATGCTTCCCTGGGGAAGCTGCTACAGGGTTGCTGCTCATTGCCTGTTGGTCCAGATGGTCAAGAGCCCCCAGCGGTCCATGGGCTAGGCGCCATGTCCCCCAGGGCATACCCTGCCATCTGTTCCAGTTCTCTCATCTCTTGTCAACCAACTTTAAGTCTCTGGTCTTTCATACTCTTGCTAGGAAAGGATCATGGAGCTCTGTGGTTCTATGAATATCGTCGTCGTCGTCGTCGTCTTCCTCCGCTTATCCGGGTCCGGGTCGCGGGGGCAGCATCCCAATTAGGGAGCTCCAGGCCGTCCTCTCCCCGGCCTTGTCCACCAGCTCCTCCGGCAGGACCCCAAGGCGTTCCCGGACCAGATTGGAGATGTAACCTCTCCAACGTGTCCTAGGTCGACCCGGGGGCCTTCTGCCGGCAGGACATGCCCGAAACACCTCCCCGGGGAGGCGTCCAGGAGGCATCTTGACCAGATGCCCAAACCACCTCAACTGGCTCCTTTCGATCCGGAGGAGCAGCGGTTCTACTCCGAGTCCCTCCCGAATGTCCGAGCTCCTCACCCTATCTCTAAGGCTGAGCCCGGCCACCCTACGGAGGAAACTCATTTCGGCCGCTTGTATCCGCGATCTCGTTCTTTCGTTCATTACCCAAAGCTCATGACCATAGGTGAGGATTGGGACGTAGATCGACCGGTAAATCGAGAGCCTGGCTTTCTGACTCAGCTCCCTCTTCCCCACGACAGATCGGCTCAGCGTCCGCATCACTGCAGACGCCGAACCAATCCGCCTGTCGATCTCCCGATCCCTCCTACCCTCACTCGTGAACAAGACCCCGAGATACTTAAACTCCTCCACTTGAGGTAGGACCTCTCCCCCGACCCGGAGGTGGCAAGCCACCCTTTTCCGGCCGAGAACCATGGTCTCAGATTTGGAGGTGCTGATCCTCATCCCAGCCGCTTCACATTCAGCCGCGAACCTACCCAGCAAGAGCTGAAGGTCAGAGCTGGATGAAGCTAGGAGGACCACATCATCCGCAAAAAGCAGAGACGAGATTCTCCTGCCACCAAACTCGACACACTCCACACCACGGCTGCGTCTAGAAATTCTGTCCATAAAAGTAATGAACAGAACCGGTGACAAAGGGCAGCCCTGGCGGAGTCCAACCCTCACTGGGAACAGGTCCGACTTACTACCGGCTATGCGGACCAAACTCACGCTCCTCTGGTAAAGGGACTGAATGGCCCTTAACAGAAAGCCACCCACCCCATACTCCTGGAGCGTCCCCCACAGGGTGCCCCTGGGGACACGGTCATAAGCCTTCTCCAAATCCACAAAGCACATGTGGATTGGTTGGGCAAACTCCCATGCCCCCTCCATCACCCTTGCAAGGGTATAGAGCTGGTCCACAGTTCCACGGCCAGGACGAAAACCACATTGCTCCTCCTCTATCTGAGATTCAACTATCGATCGGACCCTCCTCTCCAGTACCTTGGCGTAGACCTTTCCAGGGAGGCTGAGGAGTGTGATCCCCCTATAGTTGGAACACACCCTCAGGTCACCCTTCTTAAAGATGGGGACCACCACCCCGGTCTGCCACTCCCTAGGAACTGCCCCCGATGACCACGCAATGTTGTAGAGACGTGTCAACCATGACAGCCCTACAACATCCATAGCCTTGAGATACCCAGGACGAACCTCATCCGCCCCCGGGGCTCCGCCGCTGTGTAGTTGTTTGACTACCTCAGCAACTTCTGCCCCCGAGATCGGACAGTCCATCCCCAGGCCTCCCAGCTCTGGTTCCTCCTCGGAATGCGCATTGGTGGGATTGAGGAGCTCCTCAAAGTATTCCTTCCACCGTCCGACTATAGCCTCAGTTGACGTCAGCAGCTCCCCATCCCCACTGTAAACAGTGTGAGCAAGTTGCTGCCTTCCTCTCCTGAGGCGCCGGACAGTTTGCCA